TTAATATATCAGAATCTCGAATGACTGGCAAGGAAAGGGGAGAATGTCGTTTGGTGACAGAAACAGTGGGCCAGGGGTGGGGGTTGTATGAAGTTTAGGGAGAGGGAGCTGCTCCTAGCCTCAGAAGGGGTGGGGCATTCCAGCAGGGTTGCTGGGAGTGGCCAGAGGCAGGTTGTCACTACCCCAGGCTCTCAGCAGCCCCAGTCCTGGCCATCTACATCCCCAATGGTGGCCCCCAGACCTAAGCCACAGAGCCTCCCCTGGAGCGGAAACAGGAGGGGCCCTGCCAGGAAGCTGTGTGCTCACAGGGAGATGTTGCAAGCAGCTCTGGGAGAAAGCCCAGGAGAAGCAGAAAGGGCCCAAGGCAGGTTCTGTCCCAGGCCCTCTGAGGCTGGCAAGGAGAACAGGAGAACCTTAGAGGCTTGAGCTCAGGCTCCTGCTGAAAGCCCTGCCACAGATCGAGCTCGTGGACCGGCTGTGCAAGCTGGGGCAAGCCCCTTCCCAGAGCCTCAACCTTGTGCATCTATTTTTTTTTTTTAATTGAGACGGGCACAGAGTCTTGCTCTGTTGCCCAGGCTGGAGTGCAGTGGTGTGATCTCAGCTCACTGCAACTTCCACCTCCCAGGTTCAAGCAGTTCTCCTGCCTCAGCCCTCCTGAGTAGCTGAGATTACAGATGCATGCCATCACACCTGGCTAATTTTTTATTTTTTTTATTTTTATTTTTAGGAGAGACAGGTTTTTGCCATGTTGGCCAGGATGGTCTTGAACTCCTGACCTCAGGTGATACACCTGCCTCGGCCTCCCAAAGTGCTGGGATTACAGGTATGAGCCACTGCGCCTGGCAAACCTTGTGCATCTATAAAATGGGGATGCCACCGGGCAAGGTGGCTTACACCTGTAATCCCAGCACTTTGGGAGGCTGAGCTGGGTGGATCACCAGAGGGCGGGAGTTCAAGAGCATCCCGGTCAACATGGTAAAAACTCGTCTCTATTAAAAACACAAAATTAGCCGGGCATGGTGGCACTCGCCTGTAATCTCAGCTACTCTGGAGGCTGAGGCAGGAGAATCGCTTGAACCTGGGAGGTAGAGGCTCCGGTGAGCTGATACTGTGCCATTGCACTCCAGCCTGGGCAACAAAAGTGAGACTTGGTCTCAAAAAGAAAAAATGGGGATGCCACTGCCTTGCTGCCTTGTGGGGGATTGGGAGTGGAGGGTACAGATTTAGGAACATGCAGGCAAGGTGCTTGCCCGGAAGCTGCTTGTGTTTTCATGAAGGCGTTAACCCTGGAGCTGGGCAGGAGAGGCAGGCCTCTACTAAAAAGACAAAGATTAGCCCTGGGCAGTCTCCCTCCCCTGCCACTGCCACACCTGCCTCCAGGCCACACCTCCATCCTGCGTTTCAGGTCCCAGTTCTGCCTAGACATCCCTTCAGCTACCTCGAACACAACGGGTCTAAATGAAGGAGGCCGGGAACCTCATGTTGAATGTTGGCCAGCTCTCGGAAGCTGAGCTGGGGACTAGAGGCTTTTGAGGAAGATCACCAAAGAACTCGGGCTGTGGGTGCCTCTTAAGCACTTTGGGAGGCAGAGGCAGGTGGATCTTGAGGTCAGAAGTTTGAGACCAGCCCGGCCAACATAGTGAAACCCCATCTCTACTAAAAACACAAAAATTAGCGGGGTATGGCAGTGCTTCCCTGTAATCCCAGATATTCTGGAGGCTGAGGTGGGAGAATTGCTTGAACACAGGAGGTGGAGGTTGCAGTGAGCCAAGACTGTGCCACTGCACTCCAGTCTGGGAGACAGAACGAGACTCTGTCTCATATAAATGAATAAAATACCTAAATAAATGAATGGATGGATGAATGTGGGTGGAATGTTGGATGAATGGATAGAAGGATAAACGGGTAGATCAATGGATGGATGGATGGATGGATGGATGGATGGATAGATGGAATAATGGAACCTGGCATCTTGTCAACCCAGGAGTGACTCTGTCATTCCCCTGGGTGCTAGGCTTGAAATGTCCCTGCTTTATATACTGCCAAGTCCTTTTTTTTTTTTTTTTTTGAGGCAGGGTGTCTGCTGCTCAGGCTAGAGTACAGTGGTGCAGTCACAGCTCACTGCAGCCTTGACCTCCTGGACTCAAGCAGTCTTCTTGCCTTAGCTTCCCAAATAGCTGGGACTACAGGTGCTTGTCACCACACCTGGCTGATTTTTAAATTTTTTTGTAGAGATGGGGTCACACTCTGATGACAGGCATGAGTCACCACATCATGCCTGATGCTTGCTTTTGATTTACTGGATTTGCTCATTGCTCCCACACCTCCTGCTGCCAGCCTGGGCCACATCTCTGCCTACAACAGCCTTCTCACTGGCCTTTGGCCTCTGGGACCAAGGGGTGGCCCCTGATGTAGTTCCAGCAGGAGCCAGTAGGTCCTAAAACGTTACTAACTCTTACACCAGGAGCATGGCAGAGAATGCCTTTGCTCTAAATGTTTTGCACTTACCTGGACAGGCCACTGACAAACCTCTGCCCTTGGGGCTGGGGCTGGAGTCATCTCTGGGCTCCACGTCATCATACAGCTCATAGATTTCATCTGGGTCCCTGCGGGGATACCTGAGATGAGGCTTTTTGTTTTTTTGAGATGGAGTCTTGCTCTCACTCTGTCGCCCAAGCTGGAGTGCAGTGGCGTGATCTTGGCTTACTGCAACCGCCGCCACCTCCAGGGTTCAAGCGATTCTCCCGCCTCAGCCTCCCAAGTAGCTGGGATTACAGGCCTGCACCACCATGCCTGGCTCATTTTTGCATTTTTAGTAGACACAAGGTTTCACCACACTGAGCAAGCTGTCATCAAACTCCTGACCTCTCAGGTGATCCGCCTGCCTCGGCCTCCCCAAGTGCTGGGATTACAGTTGTGAGCCACTGTGCCCAGCCGAGATGAGGCCTCTGAACCCCATGATCCACACCCCACCCCGCTTCCTCACCACACTCACTGTGGGGTGTCTTCAGGCTCTCGGATCTGGAAGTGGAGCCCAGCAGCTGAGCGGGTCCTCCGTAGGTCTGTGGGGTAGAGAGTGCAGCAGGGAGGTCGGCACTGCCTGGGACCTCAGCCCCACTCCTGCCTGTGCCACCCCGCCTCACCCACCTGTGGAGGCTGCAGAGGGTCTCCGAAAGCTCTGTATATCCATGGGGACCGGGGGCAGTGGGGGCTTGGCAGGAGGGGGTCCCAGGCTGCTGGCAGGGGGCAGAGACCTCCGCCGGGGTGGATGGCTGGGTCTGAGGCCAGGCCTGGCCCTCCCACTGTGAACAAGGCCTCCTGGCCTCCAGTGGGGTGTCCCAGTCACTCCAAACCCAGGGCTGGGCGGGTACCGAGAGCTGGAGCCTACCACGGCCGCCGGCAGTGAGCTCTCAGAAGCAGAGCTGGGGAGTACAGGCTTTCGAGGGCGATCACCGAAGAACTCAGGCTGTGGCTGTCTCTTGAGCACAGCACTGGGCTCAGGCTGTGAGAACTTGCGGGGTGGCCCCTGGCACTCAGGGCGCAGTAACTTCCTGGGGAGTGAGTTGAACTCGGGCTCTGAGGATGTCCTGGGGAGGCCACCCAGCTCAGGCTGTAGGGGTTTCTTGGAGAGCGCTTTGAATTCGGGCTGCCGCGGCCTCTTGGGAAACACGCTGACTTCGGGCTCTGAGGATGTCCTGGGGAGGTCCCCGAGCTTAGGCTGTGGGGGCTTCTTGGGGAAGTCACTCAGCTGAGGCTGGGATGGCTTTTTGGGAAAGACATTGAAGTCAGGCTTTGGCTCACTAGACTCGGGCTTCCAGAGGGGTGTCTGAGCCGCCTCATTGAACTCAGGCAGGGACTTCTTAGGGAATCCACTGACCTGAGGCTGAGGGGGCTTTCTGGGGTACACACTGAACTCAGGCTGCGGGGGCTTCTTGGGAAGAGTGAAGTTGGGTTTTGGGGAGTGGGGGAGGGAGTCACTAGACTCATGCTTGCAAGGGGCTGTCTGAGGGACCTCACTGAACTCAGCCTGTGGCAGGGACTTCTTAGGGAGGCCACCAACCTGAGGCTGTGGGGGCTTTCTGGGGTGTACATTGAACTCAGGCTGCAGAGGCTTCTTGGGAATGGTACTAAACTGAGGCTGTGAGGGCTTCGGGGTAGCCTTGCAGGCCTCGGGCTGCCAGTGTTTCCTGGGGAATGTGCTGGAATTGGAATCAGAGGGGAGTCTGGAAGGGTGGCTGAGCTCAGGCTGCAGGGGTTTCTGGGCAGGCGTACTGCGCTCCAGCATCGGGGCCTTCAAAGGGGCCTCACCGGCCTCAGGCTGCAGAGGCTTCCCTGCAAACGGAGTGGCCTCCAGCTGTGGGAACTTCCTGGAGAGTTCAGTCAACTCAAGTTTGGACGGCTTCTTGGGGAGATCAGGGACCTCAGGCTGCAGGGGCTTCTCGGGGAGGTCAGGGACCTCAGGCTGCAGGGGCTTCTCGGGGAGGTCAGGGACCTCAGGCTGCAGGGGCTTCTCGGGGAGATCAGGGACCTCAGGCTTCGGGGGCTTCAAGGACACTGCACCGAACTCAGGCTGCGGGGGCTTCTTGGGGTGCTCACTTAGCTCAGGCTGGGCTAACTTCTTGAATTTACTGAATTCAGGCTTTGGGGTTTTTTTGGGCAGGCTGCTGGGTTCCTGCTGAGATGCCCGGAACTTTGCTTGGATGCTCCGGAAGTCCTGATGGGTCTCCTAGGGGATGCAGAGCCAGTCAAGCAGGGGTTCAAACACACGGAAGGGGCATGGAAGGATGGACCTGGGGACCCTCAGACACAACCCACACCAACACCCCTGTACCCAGGCCCCATCAGCCCCCTTGGCTCTCATTTTTTTTTTTTTTTTTTTTAAAGACAGAGTCTCACTCTGTCACCCAGGCCAGAGTGCAGTGGCGTGATCTCGGCTCACTGCAACCTCTGCCTCCCAGGTTCAAGAGATTCTCCTGCCTCAGCCTCCTGAGTAGCAGGGACTACAGATATGCACCACCATGCCCAGCTAATTTTTGTATTTTTAGTAGAGACAGGGTTTCACCTTGTTAGCCAGGATGGTCTTCATCTCCTGACCTCATGATCTGCCCACCTCAGCCTCCCAAAGTGCTGGGATTACAGGTGTGAGCCACCGTGCCCAGCCCTCGGCTGTCTTTCTGAGGAGCCCCCATGATTCTGGAACCCACACCCTCCCTACTTCTCTATTTAGTGCTGATTTCACACCCAACCTCCTCTAGCAAGACTGGAACTCCTGACATCCCTCCTGCAGCCTTGAATCCCACAGCCCTCCCCCGTGGGTGGCAGACTCCCCAGCATCCTTTACCCCCCTTTTTAACTTTATTAAATTCTGAACAGACATCAACCATGATACCCCCTCTTTTTTTTTTAATTTTTTTTTGAGATGGAGTTTCACTCTGTCACCAGGCTGGAATGCAGTTGCGTGATCTCAGCTCACTGCAACCTCCACCTCCTGGGTTCAAGCGATTCTCCTGCCTCAGCCTCCT